CCAGCTGTCAGGGGTCACCAAAGGGCAGTCCAACGTCACCAGCGTCAGGGGTCACCGACAGAGGGCAGTCCCGCGTCACCAGCTGCCAGGTCACCAACAGATGGCAACCGAGCTGTCACTAGCTATCAGGGATGACCGATGGAGGGCACCCCAGTCGTCACCAGCTGTCAAGGGTCACCGACAGAGGGCACCTCAGCTGTTACTAGCTGTCAGGGGTGACCGATGGAGGGCAACCCAGCCGTCACCAGCTGTCAGGGGTCGCCGACAGAGGGCAGCGCCTCACCTCCACACAGGTCTCGATCTCCGCGAACTCATTCATGATGGGGATGACCGCCTCCAGCGTGCTGTACTCCACCAGGTCCACCTGCGGCACGGGCGGAGGGAGGGGGTCAGAGATGACGCGCTGCGCACACGGAGGTGGCCGGCCCGACTCTGGAAGGTGGCTTGCAGTCAGCGCCACTGCGTCCGGAGTTTGACGAAGATGCAGTCACACCCAGATCCGTACCCGTAGCTGAATCGGCCAGAGCGCCGGCCTCCCAGCCTACCGGTGGCGGGGTGGGCGGATTCGGGCCGCTTCGGCGCCCGCTGTTTGCCCCTGGCTGGGGTGGCTCGCGGCCCACTAGTCAAGCGGGTCAGAGGGCGGGCGGACCGTGGCAGGCACTGTAGTGGTTTAAACTTTCGATACAAAAACTATCCGTTGAATCGGAAACTTCTCGATCGGATGGTGGGTATTTACATCACAAGCAGTGGTTAACTTGAACTCGGATTCCGGAAACCAACTCCATCAAAATGTTCAGTTTTCTATCGGTGAACAACAGCTTAACAGCTAGATGAGCGCAACCACTTCCAACAAATGACGTCAGAGCACGTCAAGCATACGGAAACAGATGTCACTATTCGAATAGAAATGTTTAACATTCCCCCCCCCCCCCCCCTTATTTCGCGCCATCATCGCTTACAGCCTTTAGCCATCTGTCACGCGCAATCGTAGCTTTAGATGCTTACATTTCAAGAAGCAGGTGACGCGAGGCACATGTGACGGTCATGTACGCAAGACCGGGTCATCGGCAGGGTTTTGTCTAAATTTTCAAACTTTCTCCCACTTTTTAAAGAAACGCAACGCACATCTTCACACGCCCTTTAGGGAACGCCAGCGACAGCAGTGACCATATTAGCGCTCAGGGGCCATGGGTCAGCCGGGATTTGAACCGGGCTCCCCACGTGGGAGCTAAAGGTGCTGACAGTCGGCGATTACGGCCCCAAGTGTCGCAATATGACGCGGTGGAACTAACCAGTTCTTTTTTTTGCGCACCGTTGAGGGTTCCACAGGAACTGGATGTTCTCACGAGCGTCAAACAGGAGCGCACTATCTGACCTGCCTTGGCTTGTACAAATTATTACCCTTGACGAACTTCCTTGCATCAGAATCGACTGCTTTAACAGCTCTTAGCCTCGCGTATTTGGCCACTTGCCGAGGCGTTTGCCCGTCACTGGTAAAGCGATCCCGTCTCTGGTGCAGCAGTTCCTTTCGCCTCCTGTGTGCCGCCGCGGCCAGGCTCCGGCCGCCCCGCGAGGTAATCGCCACTGCGATCAAGTCGTGTTGATGACTGAATTGTTATTGAACTGCTTCTACGTGGTCTGTTTCCATTTTGTTATTGGGTAGGGTACCGATTTGGGCAATATTTTATGCATATCCTGTCGCAAATATATCCCACATTTTGGGTATGCGGTTGCAGTTATATCACAGTACCATTGCTGTTCCTTTCATCAAGAATCATGTGGCTGCAATGTAACATATTTAGCAAACAAATGGATGTCATGGCCTCCGAGCTTCGGCCAGATCACGCCAGTTTTAACTAGTTTTAACCTATGACCCCAATATGGCAACAGAGACCAGCGTTGTCAAGCTGCAATACTGGGCTCTGCCATATGAAATCCCGGCATTAAACGCTGGGAGATGCTGAAAGAAGGAATTGAAAGGGAAATAATTATGTTCCGCACTTCAGGGACCCGACAATTTCACCAAAAGCGAAAAGCTCTTAGACACCCCAGTGGACAGGCGAAACGCCACATTGTGGAGGCCAACGCCAGCACGCACATTACGCGTGCGCAGCGCGGCAGCACCTACCTTGTTTCCGACCAGGATCACTGGCGTGGAGTGGCCCTCCCCGAGTGTCTGGCGCACCAGCGGCAGCCAGTAGTCTGTCACCTGAGGACAACAACATCAGCTCAGGTCGGGCAGATGTCTGGCGCACCAGCGGCAGCCAGTAGTCTGTCACCTGAGGACAACAACATCAGCTCAGGTCGGGCAGATGTCTGGCGCACCAGCGGCAGCCAGAAGTCTGTCACCTGAGGACAACAACATCAGCTCAGGTCGGGCAGATGTCTGGCGCACCAGCGGCAGCCAGAAGTCTGTCACCTGAGGAACAACATCAGCTCAGGTCGGGCAGATGTCTGGCGCACCAGCGGCAGCCAGAAGTCTGTCACCTGAGGACAACAACATCAGCTCAGGTCGGGCAGACGTCTGGCGCACCAGCGGCGGTCCAGTCTGCCGCTGCCTGGGACGCGGACGTCAGCTCAGGTCGGGCAGACGTCTGGCGCACCAGCGGCGGTCCAGTCTGCCGCTGCCTGGGACGCGGACGTCAGCTCAGGTCGGGCAGACGTCTGGCGCACCAGCGGCGGTCCAGTCCGCCGCTGCCTGGGACGCGGACGTCAGCTCAGGTCGGGCAGACGTCTGGCGCACCAGCGGCGGTCCAGTCTGCCGCTGCCTGGGACGCGGACGTCAGCTCAGGTCGGGCAGACGTCTGGCGCACCAGCGGCGGTCCAGTCTGCCGCTGCCTGGGACGCGACGTCAGCTCAGGTCGGGCAGACGTCTGGCGCACCAGCGGCGGTCCAGTCCGCCGCTGCCTGGGACGCGGACGTCAGCTGAGGTCGGGCAGACGTCTGGCGCACCAGCGGCGGTCCAGTCCGCCGCTGCCTGGGACGCGGACGTCAGCTGAGGTCGGGCAGACGTCTGGCGCACCAGCGGCGGTCCAGTCCGCCGCTGCCTGGGACGCGGTCGTCACGGCAATGTCCGCCAGCTGCCGGCACACGGTTGTCCGGCCCTTGCGGGTATGACCATAACTCTCAGGTAGCATCGACCTCCCTTGAACACATCGGTTGCACAGCCATGCAGTGGGCTACCCGTTGGCTGGCAGCTCAGCTTTTCCACTCATGGAAAACTGCCCTCATTTGCCGGTCGCGAACAGCACCATGTGGTGCTTGTCACACCTTGTCAAGGGTGTCCTCATCGTCGACGGCGTAGATGACACAGATGACATGCGCCCGCAGCAGCTCCGCCAGCTGCTCCTCTGTCTGCTCCAGTGCTGCCACACACAGGACAGTCAGCACATGCTACCAGTCAGAGCTGGTCATGGGGTGGGTCACTGCTGCCAAAACTTTGTCTGATCTATATCATATATCATCTGAGCATTGTTTTTTCTGTAATCCAATACCACATATCACCATGATTTTCTCCTGCAGTGCTAAAGCCATACCTTCATATGGCTAAAGAGCAGAGTAATTTTGCAATATGAGGGTGCCAATATCAGAATGTCAGTTTTCATGATCAAATTTAGTGATGCATCATGCTAAGAAGACATGTTCTAGACCTTCATGTATCAACACTTGTTAAGATTTTAGCACTTACTATTCTAGCATGCTAAGATGCCAAATGCCAAATGCCTCAACAAATGACTTCAAAAACAACTTGGCCCATAGTGCCTACATTAATGTGGTCAGGTCAAATTTTCAGCATTTACTTTGTTGTGTACAAGGTCAGGGTGTACTTTCCTACCTAACGTTAGAAAAAATAATTGTACACCATTTGTCGTGTTTAAGGCAGGACAAATCGTAAATAATCACAAAACAGGTAGATTCATGCTCTTACCTTCAATTTTTTTCTATAATTACGATGGCGAGCTCCCGAGCGCAGCACACGCACAGCAGCCGCGACACCGGCGCTATTACTGCGAGCGGTCACAACATTACTGCGCATCAAGCAGCATCAAGAATCATAAAAATGTACCGGGCCAAGGTAACAAGAATCCATGAAATCTGATCCTCGACGCCTACGGGACGGGCGGCTAAATAAAAGCTCACTATACAGCACCTATATATATGGCATGGAAATGGATGCCAATGGGATGCTGGGTTGCAGGGGATATAGGGTGGGGAGATTGGGATAGGTTAGGTTAGGTTAGTTAGGTTAGGTTAGGCTAGGTAGGTTAGGTTAGGTTAGGTTAGGTTAGGTTTGGTTAGGTTAGGTTGGTTAGGTTAGGTTAGGTTAGGTTGGTTAGGTTAGGTTAGGTTAGGTTACATTAGGTTAGGTTATGTTATGCTATGTTATGTTAGTTATGTTATGTTATTTCAGTTTGGTGGGTTGGGTCAGGTCAGGTCAGGTCAGGTCAGGTCAGGTCAGGTCAGGTCAGGTTAGCTTAGCTTAGCTTAGCTTAGCTTAGCTTAGGTTCTGGTCTATTCTCAGTTAGGTTAGGTTAGGTTAGGTTAGGTTAGGTTAGGTCAGGTTAGGTTCGCAACAACGCAGAAACGGGCGCTTGGGAGCCGAGGCGGTGCGGTGCAGTACGTGTGGCGCTCGGGAGCTCGCTACCGTATTTATTAAAATTCGAGGGTAGGAGCATGATTCTACCTGCTTTGAAATTGTTTACGACATGATCTGCCTTAAACACGACGAATGGTTTACCTTGGTCCCGTACATTTTGTATAGTTCTTGGCAAGCAGAAATATTGTATTTACGTAACGGCAACGCAGAAACGGTGCTGGGGAGCCCAGGCGGTGCTGTGCGCGCGGCGCTCGGGAGCTCGCCATCTTAGTTATTGAAATTTGAAGGTAGGAGCATGATTCTACCTGTTTTGAGATTATTTACGATATGTGCCGCCTTAAACATGACAAATGGTGTGCAATGATTTTTTCCAACATTGGGTAGGAAAGTACACCTACACCGGGAGGGCCATGCAACTCTCCCAAGGTCTTATGTGTTGCAAAACTTATTCCTAAAACCAGTAAAGGTGGTGAAATAAACTGCAACATATCATACAAATGATGACAACAGCTTAGCAAACAAACAAAGTTAAGTGATGATACTATCCAGAAAAACAAGAAATTCACCAGCAAGCTTACAGGAGTAGTCCACAATGTGTTGGCACTTTCTCAGGAGTGACATCAGCAGGTATAGTAATTTCTTCAGATTTTGCTGGCACTTCTTCTGGGAATTCTTCACTCACCTGGACAAAATAGAAAGCATGCAATAGCAATGAAATCCTTTTCATTAACACCATTATCACAACTTAGATGCATTACCTGGTCTCAGTGAAGAGTAAATACGATCAACTGTGTTTGCCGAAAGGCCAACTTTACAGGCAGCACCAAATGGCTTTTTCTAAGTTTCTTTAAATCCAAATTTCCCTTAAATCAATTACTTACACCAGCCACATAAGTTGTACCAAGATGTACAAATAACCACTGCAAACTGGCAACAATAATAATGCTACTGAGCAGGCAAAACAACCAACCAAACCTTTTCTGCAACTCTTCACATAATGGTTTGAGGAACCCATGGGAAGTCAGATTTCAACCAGCTGAGAATGTTATGAAACCAAAGGACACCAAACCATACTAGCATGATAACCAGCAAAAGTACTTACTAGAGACAAGATCAAGGATGTCTTCCCAACACCAGGTTCACCAAGCAACAGAATGCGGACATCTCTTCTTGACTGTACCATGTTGCAAGAACTACCCGCTTTGAGCATTTAAAAATAAGGCTATTCAGTGACTATTGAAATCAACACTCAAACTAATTTATCTTGCTGTGTCATTTTTGTAGCTGTCAGCAAACATTTCACAATGTAAATGGAATCATCACAAACAGGGTAAAGCAGTCTGGCACATGATGTAAGACATTGGATGGAGCAAATAAGCCGATGTAAGCCCTGACTGGAACATCTGGCAATAGATGTTGAATGCGAACAAGCAATCTAAAAGCATTTGCAGCCTTCAATCTTTTGAGAACCCATCGGCACTAATGAGGTTGCAACGTGCTTGGGTGGAAATATATTACCCCTGAAAACATGATCATGAAAATGGTAAGAACCGACCAGAAACTGTATCACACTCTGAATCCACAAACTGTTCACGCCACAGAGACAGGGTCGGTAACGCCCCTTTCCGTAATGACACACACACACTCATACACACAACAGGCCAACCTCCAGTTACGTTACAACACATTCACGATTTCTCACGCGAAAAATCGTGGCGCGCTTAGCGATAGCGGCACGCCAAATTCGCCTAGGTTTAATTTCTTCTACTAAATTTGTAGAAGTGGCGTTTTGCATCTGCGTACTGGCAGCTCACGATGTTTTAAACCAAGCACAATACACAACTTTTTCGCCGCAGGAAAAATAACGACGAATTTTCTTTTCATTCTTTCTTGGCCCATAGAACCCAAGTCCAACTAAACCAGCAAGTTCGCAACGAATAGAATCTCATGTTTCAACGAGAGAGTAAAGTGAACTAAATTAGACATCATCCTCCCAGTCAGCGTATTGCTGCGGCCCTGCTGTGGCCCATGTGGCTCGTCGGTTGGACCGAACAGCAACGCTCGGGCCACATGTGAACGCACCAACGCAACGCAACGCAATGCGGGCCAACGCACAACTGAACGGGGCTGGCCCAACGACTTAGCCATCCACGTGAGGGGTGGCATGCGCGTGGCGTGGACTGAGGAAGTAGTGGCGACGAATCTGTGGGGAACAGCAATGAATGCAAACTGTATCCCCCATCTTTTCCGTTGGGGTGACACCTACATCACCGCCTTTCATGATTTCATGGCTGGCATAGATGGGGCTCTCGGAAAAGCGGAAATACTTCGCTTACAGGTAGTACCGGAGAAGGCGTAGTGGCAGGGGCCATGTCGGGGCCGGAAAGTGGCGTCGTACCGTCAGGGAGGATATCGTCTTGAGCCCTGACAGATCCAATCTTAAGCTTTCACGGCCGACCGGAAAGGGCCACACTTGTCTGACCTTCTGCCACACTTGCCCGGCCTTAAGCCAACCTGCCGGCATTTTGCCACTCTTACACACACTTCCCTCCCTTCAGCTGCACGATCCACCCTCCAGACACCCCACTTCGCCTTCAATCCACCTGAGCACATTCTCCTCTCTTCTCTGGTTGCATGGCCTTCCAAGTATCTCTTCCTTCACGAGGAACCGGTACCTCATTTCTCTCCACCCACCGCTGGTCCCTTTTGTGATAATGATAGTCATCATAATGCTAATGAAAAACACCGATCGAAGCATTCTCTGTTCGGTGAACCCCTTCGCGTTCCGCAGAGAGCTGGAGCTAGCTGTGGACGAAATATGTGACGCAAAGCCCATTGCTGTACAGTGACAAGGTAAGGTAAGGTAATAAGAAAAGATGGGAGAAGTGCGTGAGAAAGAGAAGAAAGGCTCTCATAATGTGAGGTTTAATGTCATCGCTTAACATTTACAGGTACTTCCCGGAATCTGCGCGCCCAGAGCCAGAAAATACTGGCGCAACCCAGCCGTGACATGGCGTTGTGTGGCATGAGAATACCGTCTGCGACCCCGTCAGACTAAAATGGCCGGAAGGAAAGCGCCAGCTTATTTTATGACTAACTGGAAACACAACTGCTCTTGGTGGGCGCAAAGCAAAAACTGTATAGTTTTTAGACGTTAGCTTTGGAGAACTCGGGGGATGTACCGCATGACAGGCACGTCGTTCTAGCGGTTTTTAAATGAATGGACATCCGTAAAATTAGTTTTGCCCCGCACGTAGATGATTTCATCATCTCCTGCTGCACGTTTCATAGTTGTGTTGCCAGCTACGATGGCCCCATAACGATTCAATGTCATCAGATAGTTTTGGCTTCATCTCGGTGCAGTTTGGCGTTTGGCGCATGTAGGGCATCAAAATATTCTTTTCGGCAGCTTTAGATTGAACTTACTATTCGAAATCAATGATATCATCTATAAAAGAATGGATGTTTTATGAGACATGCGAGATTGCTGCACGACCGTTATTTAAGTGCTGCAGTGCGGTGAACCGAAACCCTCACTGCGCATTGGACAGTATCGCTGCTGTTTTCCCCTGTTAAACCACTAGCATTAGCCATGGATATATGCGTGATATATGTGTCTGGAGGCACGATATATGTTGAGCAAAAATGTCAAGGCTGGCGTACTGCATCCACCTGCAAAGGCGCCAAAAACCCAACCAGTCTGATTCTGTGAGGCATGTTTTCTGGAAACAAGACATACATATAACGGGTCGTAAAATTATGTAAGAGAGCCCTATTCTGGACGAAAAACAAGCTTCCGAAGAAAACTGAGGAGGCATAAAGATAGCAAAAGGAAAGAAGGCAAGTCCATGGAAAGGAAAACAATTATTCAGGCAGACGCATCTGGGCCAAGGGCTGTGAAAGGAGAATGGTTGTTTGCTTACAGAACAACAGGAGGAAATTAAAACTGATTCTGCGTCAGCCGAATTCGCGCCTGCGTTGCCCACTTCCCGCGCTTTTTGCGATGCGAAGCGCGAGCGACGCGGGCGGCGCGCGCGCCTGTGCGCTGCGAGGGAGGCGTGCACTGGCCGCAGTTGTGAGCTGGCACCGGGGTGGCGCAGGCCTCTCCCACTGGCCTCCAGCGTCCGCTGTCTGTGCAGGGTCATCGCGAGTGCCTTCTCTCTGGACAGGAGCTGGCCAGCGCGCTGTGTCACCGGCTCTCGGTTCCAGAGAGAGGCCCGCCGCCCAGCCGCCGTTGGCAGCCGCAGGGGTACCCGACACCTCACGAGGGACCGCTGCGTACACCGCCAGGGGCGGGAGCCTTCGCGCGAGGTCCGACAGGTCGGAGCGTCGGGTGACGCCACCCAGCAGGGCTCGGACTCGGCGGCCGGCACCACCAGCGCTGCTCGGAGGCCTAGTGGCTGAGCTGGGGGACCTGCTCCAGTGACCTGAGCTAACTTATGCCAGTGACCTGAGCTAACTTACGCAGTGACCTGACCTAACTTACGCCAGTGACCCGAGCTGACTTACGTCAGCGACCTGAGCTAACTTACGCCAGTGACCTGAGCTAACTTACGCCAGCGGCCTGAGCTAACTTACGCCAGTGACCTGAGCTAACTTACGCAAGTGACCTGAGCTATCTTACGCCAGTGACCTGAGGTGACCTGCTGACAGCCTTCCACGGAGCCAGGCGGACTCAGACCAACGTGCTGAGAGAGTGGTGACCCGCTGCTGACCTCGTGGTGGCCCCCGCCGCTAAGATGGCCTACCCCCACCTCGTGGCTCTGGGTCTGTCTCTGCTTGTGCTGCTCAGCCTGGGCTTGATCACGCTCTCCAACTACCAGATGACGGTGCGAGCTATTGAGGCCAGCAGGAGCACCACCACCACTACAACGACCACCACTACCGCCGCCACCACCACCACGGTGTCGTCCCTGGTACGTAGCAGCGAGGAGGCCGCTCGACCGGCGCCAATGTGAGGTCAATCACCACCAGAGAGCGGCGTTCACATCATCCGCAAGCGGGACAAGTGATGAGCGGACTGTGAAGGATACCGATAAGCCCTTGCTCATAGGATACAAACGGCAAATGAGATCTTTTGTAGCTTCTTCAAGGCTTAAAAGCCGGCACGGAAAGGCAAGCATTGTTCTTGAAATATTGATCGTGAGATCAATGAATTGGTTAACTTCTGATTTCGCTCACTTCCAATGTGCACCAAGCACTACGACAATACGTAGGCGTAACATAAAATCGATAGATCAAACAACGGTAGCATCCTGCGCATCACTGGTTCTGTTTCAGCTACACCATCAATTCGTTATTTGTCTCGCATTTCCCTTCCTCACATAAGTATGGCTTCACGTGAAAATGTGTCGTTAATAGAACAGCCGAATAAACACACACGCAAGCGCGAAATGAACTGTTCACCGCAGAGCAGGGAGAAAGGAGCTTTTTGCCCTTATTCTGTCATATGAGGAGCGGCTTTTTTAACACTTAGCACTAAGTATAACTATGCTGAAAAGATGAGACCGAATGACAGTTGATTAGCTGATTTAATAATCAGATGGAAATAATCTTGGGCTAGCTAGAGACCACGTAGTTTTGCTCAACATGTTGTACAACGCGCCCCTTTATCATGTTCTGCTTACATGTTACGCAACAAATGGTCTGTAGAGAGCAGTCGCTCACTTTTCATGCCGTTAATAATAAAACTGACCTTTTGTGGGAGAAGCTAAGCTTTTCGTTGAAATGCCTCGAATCAGGTGCGAATATGAATCGAACATCACCATGCTTCACGAGAGGAGTCTAGAGGAACGAATTAAGAGCACACACACATATATACTTAGTTATGTATCTATCTATGTATATACGTATACATATATGACTATATATTCATCTCTTTGCACATATACTGATAGAGAAAAAGGTCACTTTTCACAATGAAAGAGCATAAAATTTTGATCAGGTATCTGGTAGCTATCTGATATCATTGGCATCTGACATAACTAGTAAACTGATTTGAAACCTAACATTTTTTAAGCCGTATAGGAAGGGGACCAACATGCAGACACCATTCTTCAGGCATCTATCAGTAACTATGATCTCCGTCCGTTGTCAAAACCGTTGTAGCGCATGCCACCAAGCTGTAAGTCGCGTTTTTGGCAGCTTCCCCCGCTGAAGTGGAGGTTGGTGGTTTTGAACTTCATAAGATAAGACGACGACCTTGTCGATGTCATGACGTACTTCGGACGGTCGGCTGGTGCACCACGCCCCTGCATATTGTCTCCGGTCTTTGGAGATGTGCTATCTCCTGGCTGTGTTCCGGTGGACTCGAAGGACGGTACGAGGGCTCGAGCTAGTCGAGGCGAACAACCTGAGGTTGTGTCGAGAATGATGACGAGACTTGCGAAGTTGAAGCCCGGTGCAGCAGCTTGTCAGGTTCTGTTCGTTTGTCTTTCTTATTGCTACCATAATGTGCATCATTGCCTGGCATAACAAATATCCGCAAGTCTTGAATTAATGAGCACCACTACGGAGTGAGCCGGCTGAGCGCTCCTTCGACTATTTAGAACCATCGCGAGCAATGGAGTAGGGGAGAGATGAGAAGCCACTAATGGTAGTGACAAATTAGTTGTGATTGACACATTTCATTGGATCAGAAACCAGCAAACGAATCGCAGAATGCCGAAGTCGATATT